AAAATTAAGCACTTGTATTTGAAATAAACTTGTTTTTAGCTTTTAAATTTTGTTTGTGATAGATTATAGAACCTGGTGATGTAATAAAGCCTAAAAACTTAATTAAGCATCATATCAATGAGATGAAATTAAAAGTTTTTGAATATATTTTGTATCTCCATTACTTTTTTTTATTATTACCTTACACAAAATATTCTTTCTTACCATTACTATAATAGCTATGATTAAATTGAATACAAGATATCTTTGCTAAATCATTGCAATATTTTTCATCCAACATATTCCCAATTAACTTATATTTCTATCAAATTTTATATGTTGAAGTTTAAGAATATTTTTTATAAGAAAAAGTGCAAACTGGATTTTAGTGCCAATTACTAGAAAAATTTGCTCAATTTAATTGATATTTATTATTGAATATTAAATGTATTATTTTAATTACTTTGATTCATTATTGGATAATACATTTTTTAGTAAAATCTAAAACCACAAATCCAAAATCCATATTTCAATTATAATTTGAATTTTATGAACATGAAATAAAATCTTTGAGTTGGTCTATTGCAAGTTTAATTTGAAGAAAAACATAAAACTTTATGTATTTATTCTTCTTTAATATTATAATCAATTTTTAATGAGACTTTACCTTCTAAATAACTTCTAGAACAAAAACTATCTGCTAAAAAAATATTTTGATTATAGAGTTACAAAGCATTAAATTTTTAAATTAATTCTTAATCACTCGATATATTACTATTAATAAATCTTTTCAACTAAATATGATAAAGAGATAATAAAATGCCATTTTTGAAATCTAACGTTCACTTAGTACTAACTAATCTCATAAAAATCATCAATTACTCTAATATTTATTAGTTGCGGTTTCCCTTCATCGCAACTATTACCACTTATGCATTTTAAGATTAATTCTTATTATCTTGTATTATATATATTATTCATATTAAAGTTAAGAATAATTTAAGTGATTATTAATGTTTTAATGCTATGAAATGTTAAATATTAATTTAAAAAATATAGTCATCTTTAGTCACATTGAAATCTCACTAAAAAATTGTAGAATTGTTTTTATTTGATAATATTTATGATATAGTATCAAATTATTCTTTCTAATTAAGATTCTACGGTTTTAAGCAATATTCGTTATCCTCTGTCTGAATTCATTAATGAAATAGAACTTTTTCGTCTAAAAAAAATCATGATATTACAAATAAAATTTTGAATTGCTTGAAAATAGAATTGATTTCAATTTTTCAATATTAACTTTACTTTTGTTTTGTTTTTATCTCAAAAATATTAATTTTCTTTTAAGTAATTTTGTAATAACAAAATTAGGTCTCAAAATTTGAAATCCTTTTAATAACAATGATAATATTTGAAACTTATATTTTTTATAATAAATTTAGAGAATATTCATTATAAATGGGTAACTTAAGATAATGCTATTTAAAATAATAAAGGATTGAATGATAGATGAAATATTTTATTTCTCTTATTATTCATATAAATGTTTAACAGCTGCTAATATTATAGCAATCTAGCAAAACTGTCCGCTTTTGATGTCTAATAAGTTAAACTTATGCAGAATGTATGGTTTAAAACTTTGTGCAATTATTGTGTAAATCAATATGCAAAGGTCTAGCAATAATGCTTTCAAAATTATATCAGTTTCAAAATAGATTAGAATAATTATAATAATTGTTTTCTTCCATAATTTGATAATCTCCCAAAAATAGTTCTTTTGAGTATATTCATTAAATAAATATCCTATATGTCTTCTAAAATTTATTTTTTTATGCTAATCTTTATTTATGTACATAAGTAAAAATAATGTTAAGGGTAGAATTAATCCTATTAATAAGGATCCAGGTATTACAAACCAATAAATCCAAGTGAGATGACTTGACGATCCATAAATCATAGATACATCACCTTGTATGTAATCCAAATCTGATATTCTTCTAACTGCCAGTATTGAAAAATATCTTTAATAATAATAATTTTTTACTGATTTATCAAGGATGCATAATTTTAAATATACAAATATAATGAAGTAATTGAAATGATTCTACTCTAAAATTTTTAGTTTTTTAGAATTGATATTAATTAAAATCCAATAAAAATAATCAATATCTAACAGACAATAATTCCAAACATTACTAATATTCTACTGTAAATTAAATCTATCCCTTATATTTCCGCCACCAGACATTCAAAAAAATTAGCCATAAAATATGAAGAATCATTTGATGGTTTTACAATGTTTAAAGATAGTGAGAAATTAATATTAAATGTAAAGATAAGTGAAAAAATCCGTAAATAATTAAGAAATAGTTTAAGTAAAATACTTTCATGATCTAAAATGTATATTTTATAATACCTTGTTCGAGTTTGAATAAAATTTCTGCAAATTTTTAATTTTACCTAAGCTTAAGCTATGCATATAATTAATTTGTTTATTCAATACTGCTAATAGTTATTAGTGTTGAAAGAAGAGCCCTAAAAAATATTAATCATTTATACCAAATTGATACTAAGAAAAAGGCTATTAATCTCTTTGAAAGCTCATCACATTATTAACAATCCAATTATTACTAGTTTTTAAAGAATTACCCATCTCCTCTTAAATTATATCTATCACATTCTTCACACAATGCTCCTATATGACCATTAAAGCAAAGGTCATCACCTACAATCCATCCTCCTCAACAATGACTTGGATTTTTATAACATAATTCTACATTTTCTGTAATATAACTCGACCTCCAAAATCCAGCCTTTAATTTTATTTTATTAGATGTAATGGCTTCAAATTTATTTTTATCAAAAAGTGAATATTTTGTACTATTATAAGTCACTGAATAGAATCCTTATTCTGATTAACATTTTTGGCATCCATAAGAAATATAAAATTCACCTAATTGTCATAAAAAGCTTTTAACTTTTATTCTATAAGCCAAGCTTTCCTATTGATATTCTGTTTTACAGAAAATTAAAATTTCATATATATTTTGATCTTCCTGGTTGTATGGATCCATATTAAATTATAATGAACCTAAATTAAAGCTCTTAGTTTTTTGATCAAAGCTTATTGTTGATATTGTAATTAATTCAATTACTTTTTAAGATGTAATATCAAAAATTAATTATTGTACATTGCAAGTGGAATTTAGAAAGTTTATTTGTTGTTCATTCAAACTATTCTTAAATTTTATTGTAAATTCAGTTATATAAGATTAATATTCTAAAACTTGGTAATTCATTAATATTATTTGAAGCCAATTTAGCAATATTAAATAAGAGTAGAGACTACATAAAATTATTTGTATTTAAACTACTATTTCCACCTAAATAAATACCTCCTGCTTCTTCTGCTGAATTATTAATGATTATAGTAGATTTAATAATAAATCTTGAAGTACCTTCTTCAAAATAGAATCCACCTCCTCTAAAAGCAGCAAAATTATTTATAATTTTTGAATTTGATATTTCTACTCTTAAATTTTAGACTAAAATTCCTGATCCCAATCTTCCTTTGTTAGAAATAAAAGTAGAATGTTTAATTATTAAAATGTTTTCAACTCTTATATTTGATTTAGCCAATATACAACCATATCTTTTATTGAATTCTTAATGCATGATAATTCTGATATTTGAAATTACTCAAAATTATTCAATTCAAAGAAAAGCAAACCATTCTGACAATATTAACAGTTATTATTTAATAACAGAACCTTTGAGAATGATACTCTAGTTTTATTTGTAACAGTCTTCAATTTGATCAAAGAACCATTTTAATTCGAATAAGTAATTATATCATCAAAAAAGGTTTATAAAGACTCTTCCCCACGAATCTTTTAGACTACATAATTACTTTTTAAGCTACATTAATAAAATTCTAATTCAATATGATTCTAATCAAAAGATTTTAAATTCTTTTAAATTTATGTGAAATCTTTTAAATTTGATATTGTGATATTATTAAGATATATTCTTGATTATTAAATATTATTATTTTAAATATCCATTAGATGCAAAGGGTAGAATGTTAAAACATCTATAAATTTACAATTAATTAATGAAATAAATTTTGAATCTAAGACTTTAATTATAGAAAATAAAAGGATTCCTTCAATTTGTATTCCATTTAACAATAATTCACATCCTTAGAAATTCATTATTGCATTATCACTTATAACTTTTTGAATTTCAATTAGACTTATTGATCCAAGAGATTAAAGGAAAATCATTAAAGCTTGTTCATTCTAAATTATCATAAAATTTTCGATGTTTACTTTATTTTATTAGGCATTTTTAAATTAACAAGTGAGAAACAATCTTAAGCAAATATATTTCTAATTTAGATGTTATTTTATGCAGATGAAGGATATTTTGAAAAAATGGATGATGATAGTCTATTTTAAACATTTATTAAAGTAATATTTTAAAGATTGATTAATAATAAACTATTCTTGCCATGAATTGTTCATTTTGAACTTTGGAAATTAATAAATTGTATGCATGAATAATAGTACAGTTTTTTATAATTACTATTCCATCTCCTTATGTATTGATATTAAATACTTGGCTACTTAAAGCAATTATATAATTGAATACTCCATTGAGAATAGTGAGTTTAGAAACTGTTGTTGATAAAACTCCTCCAATAATCTCAATTTTGAATGATTATGAAATAACCTAAGTAATTTCATTTTAATTATACTCCTCCTATAACTCAATTTCATGTTATTAAATCCATAATTCTTAATCAATATAATTATGATTGGAAACTTTAATATTATCTATTAAGATTTCAAATAAAAATAGAGAAAAATATGACTAAGCAGAATTTGTCAAAGTATTATTAAAACAATTGATATTAGTTAACAACATGAAACTCTAAGGTGAATTGACATATAAAAGACTGGCTGAAGTTTTTGATGGATCTTTATTATATTAATGAAAGATATTCTACTCATATTATAAATTATCAATCTTTATAAGTTAAGATTTTTCAGAATACAATTCGACAAGTGAAAAAATTATTCCTAAATGTTATTTTATTAAAATGTTTCCTTTCACTTTCACATCTTTAATGAAAATATACTCATTTGAATTTAACATAGTTAAAGGATTAGATTATATGGAAATTATTGAATAATCTATGCTAAACTAATTTTTAATTGTAATTTTATTTAAAGTTATATTCTTGAATCCAGAAACTTACAGTAATTATGAATGAATTATACAATTTTTAAAACAATCAGGTGATATTTAAACTTTTTATTCCTAATGCAAATTATAATATACGATGTTTTCAATTATTATCAATGGAATCGCTTATAATGGGATGAAACGATAATTTTTAGTATTTCTTAGAAAGATATTTTTGATTATTAAACTAAAACTGTTAATTGTTATAAGAAACTACTCTTAATCACAAGAAATAATATTATCCTCAAAATAAAAGTTTTGTAATAAATAATTAACTTAAGATGTTGACTATTTTTATTCTGTAACAAATAAAGAAAAATTTTATACAGTATTTGCTAGAATCTAAATGTTATTCATCTAAATTGCTGAATTTAAGAGTACTGAGACCTATGAAATAAATTAAATTGATATTAACTTGTTTCCCTCCATGAAAATATTATTACAAAAAAAGTCATAATTAAAAATGATAAATTTCGAATTGATTATCTAATTTGAAAGAATTTAAAAATTGCTAATAGTTATAACAGTTTTGTCAATGCTATATATAAGATTTAAATTATTAAATAAAGAATTTTTGATAAGTACTCCTGTAAAAATAATGTTAGATAACTGATTCTAAGTTTGATTGAAATGCATTGTTGTTGAATTATAAAATTCACAGGAATCAATAGAAAAGTTTTCGATATGTATGCTTCTTCGAGCATTTTAGAATAAAAATATAGTAGAATTTGTGAATTTACAATCCTAAAGTTGAAAATTATGAATTATTATTTAATCGTTCTAATCTGTAAAAACTAGATTAAAAATTATTGAGTTTTCAATACTAATATTAAAGATTGAAACATTTTATATATTTACATTAATGAAGCTCTCTCCTATAATAGACAAATAGATTGGAGAATTTGTATTTGAATAAAATTGTGTATCAACTATCTTTAAATCAACAGATAAGTCTCTATTCTCACATATTAAAACCAACTCCTTCTATATCAGAAAATTAAGGTGATTTAATATTATAAAATCATATTTTAAAACTGACAATTTAAATTGATCAGTCATTAAATATATAGGATTTGATCTGCCCTGAATTTTAAATTTTGTTTATTACATTGAAAATATCTTATCTCTGAAAGTATTATCAATAAAGTATTCAGATTGGTAAATTTCACAATAGTATTCTGGTAGTAGAAGTGTTAAAATAATATATTTAAGCCCTATTTCATTGAAATATTGATAATTATAATATTTACTTAAATCAAATTGGATATTATCCAAATAATTGCAATAAAAATCCCCCTTAATAAAATATTATAAATACATAATTCAATTCTAAATTGTAGTTACAATTGTTTTAATAACAAAAATATGCAATTTTTAAGTTTTGATCGATTTGGACTAATTAAGAAGGTATTTTCTAAAGGCATTTAAAAGTGTAAATAATATTATCAGGCGTTATTATAAAATATGGATTTATCGCCTATGATAATAAGAATACATTACATTAATTTCTTCATTTGATCTCTCTTAACAAACTTGACATAAAAATGGACAATTAATACATTTTCCATCAACTTGTACTCTTAAAGGTTCTTTGAAATAATTTAATTTGCATTTAGAACAAAAAAACTTTCTTGAAATGTTACTAGGTTCACAAACAGAACACATTTCATCACAATATTTTGTGCAAAAGTATTGTATTTTTTCATATCCTTTTATACATTAAGTTTCCAAAACCTTGGTCTTATTATATTAGAAAGAAAAAAATGAATTAAATATTTTACTTATTTTATTAATTTAATAATAATTAACCATGAAATAAAGTTGAATTAGGTAAGTATTGAATTACAAAACCTTTATATTAACCATTTCCAAGGTTCTAAATTATTCTCTTCAAAACATTATTTTGCAAATTCAGCAGGGCATTTTATACAAATTCCTAAATTGGATGATACTAAAAAACCATCTCACAAATTAAACATTTTGTAGTTTTTTATGGAGTTATGATGCATTGTAAACAATTTAAAAGATGAATTTGACAATTTATTATTTCTAAAGCAAAACTGAAATTATTAATTAAGGATAATGTGCAAATTTCTTTATCGTCTAAATTAATAAGCTCTTAAACAATTTTATTAAGATGGTGTTTATAAAATGCATTATCCTATTTTGAAATCAAAAACAAATTCCTCATTACATTATGCACAACCTTCTTTAATCTCTTCATCTATTATAGTTTAATCTTGATGAAACTCTAAAGTAGTTTTTGTAGGATCACTTACTAAATAATTAAAACAATATAAACAGTTTTTGATTTTGCAAGTAACACATTTTTTATAAAAATCTACAAAATTTGGAGGTTCACAAATTTATTCATTCAAAAAAAAAGAAGGTGGAAAATATATTTCTTATGAATTTAAACATTTTAAATTTGTTGAAATAGGTTAACATTTTAGACAAAATTCTGAGCATGAATAACAACCATTCTGTATTGATTAACAAAATCTTTTAAATTTAAATATCGATTCAACTTGATCAACTTATGATGGATTAATTGAATTGCAATCAGGACAGTATTGTACATCATTTCCTACTAAAATATATTGCAATTTTTGGTCTGTTAAGTAGTTTGAAGTGTTTCCATTCTTATCTGTCGATAATATTGTTTAACAAATAAGAATTTGACCCCATTATTTAGGATTTTATACACATTCCAAACATGTTATAACATTGTTGTTGATTATTGATGGACTTATATACAATATAATAATACCATTAATAGCATTCATAATTTAATTCGAAAAATCCATATAGGCATTCTTCTTTTAATGGTGTTTCTTAAATTAAGTCAAATTATAAAGCTTCATAATTGATACATTGATCGTCCTACTCAATTGTTCCATATACACAGATACATTCTTTAAAATCTGATAAATATAACCTATTTGATGATTCAAAACAAGATACACAATCTTTTTTTGTTGGACCATCACATTCCTTACAATAAGGATGACAATTAATATATGATTGATATCTTTCTGGACAATTTAATAGCTTTAAACCTACAATTTATACATTTAAATAATTTAATTTAGATTATAAAATATTACCAGAAAGCAATTTAAATTAAACCATATTAAATTGATTTTCTTCTAAACCCATATTTAATTTTATTTGATCTAAACCTTAGTAAAATGTTATTGAAATTGAAATAGAAGTTTCTGTCTTTTTTACTAAGATATAATGCCATAATTAGATATCGCAAGCTATATCAAATATTTATGTCTTTAAAAAGGGATTGTTTGAAAAATCAATATTAACAACCGGAAATGTAAAACTATATGTTGTGATGATGATTTGGTTTCCTTAAGATGAAATCTTGTAAAATAACTAAAATTAGCATAAATTTTCTGAGATCATTTTTGGATTATTAAAATTGCTTGATAATTTAAACAACTAAAAATAAAATTCATCCTAGTATGAATAAATTTCTTTAATTTTTATCCAACTTTATCATAAAAATTCTTAATTATTTATTTGTTAGAACACAAATTAAGATAAATCTTATTTTTATATGAAAAAATCACCTATATCAGTTCTTGGATTTTATTAACACTCACTGTACCTTTCAATATCTTCATTAATAATCTCTATGAAATAGTCAGGCTCATTTAAATAAGTATTAATTAGATATGTTATTTTTCCTGGATAAAACGAAAGTAAACTATTTTCAAGTGTATAAAGTGGTGAATTCTAACTTACTTTGAAATCCCCTCCAATTATTAAATTAGAATTTATTCTATCTTAAAGAAATTCAATTGATTTTGAAAAAAATTAAGTGTTTTTTTCACCTATATATATAATAACTTGTTTTAATGAAGGAATTGTTATGAATCCTTAAAAATACCAAATAAATTCATATGATACTTCATTAATTGGTATTTCTTCTTTAAAATCACTTCCATCTCTAACCTAAAAATTAAACATATTTCTTGATTGTTTTTTACTCAAAATCAACACAATCATATTATATAAAATACAATTGATTATTTATCTAATCCTAAATTCTAAACAAGTGAAAACAACTACTATCAAGTATTCCAATCTCTCCAATTTATACATTGTTACTTAATGGTACATATTTACTCCAAACTCCAAACCCTGCACTATTCATACCTAAATCCATATAATTTTCTATTGATTTAATAACAAATGGATAATTTGATGGTAAAGTTATTATTTACTAGGGTATTGAATACTAAATAATTATTATTATTAGCAAATGAGATGATATTCTCATTCCTTAAAAAAATTTAATTTAATTTATGGTGAATCATTTAGATGAATATGAATCACATAATTACTTAATATATACTTAATATAATTTTTATTTCTAGTACTTTATTTTTTAAATACTAATTATTTTTTCAATTTATTGAATCAAGTTTCTTTGCCTCATTTTTCTTTTATTTTGCCTTATACTAATAATTTAATTCAGAAAATATAAATATGATCTTTATATATATCCTTTGTAGAGATTAAATCAAAGACATTTTGAAGAAAACTAATATAATGAGTAATTATAAATAAATAAATTATTTATAGTGGGTTGGATAATATGTATAACAAAATAAAAAAGCTTAGAATATAGATAAGTATTTATAAAGAGAAAACCCTTACTGGACTTATGTAGATAGTACGCTGAGGAGTGTTTATAATGGGTAAAAAAAATGGGTTTAAGTATCAAATAATAAAATATAAGTAAATGTTTTGTTAATTTTTCTGGAAATTATGTTAATGGAAAACGTAAGTCATTTGAAATTATAGATTAAATATTTCAAATCATGAGCAAATTATGTATTTTTGAAAACTATAATAAAGTGATGGAGTCATTTTTTAAGATAATGGATTAAAAGTAGGATTATGGACAAAATTAGATGAAAATTTCTCTTTGCAATATTCAATTATAATAGCATTAAGAAAATTATATAAATGGAAAGAAATATAAAAGTTGAAAAATTCTTAAGGGCTAAAATATTTAAATGTAAGAATTTTTTTCATTAAGTGAGGAGGTTTTTATGATTAAAATGGATCAAAACATGGAAAATGGGTTGAATTAGATGAAATTTCTTATAGTAAAACTAATAAAGTCTTATATTTTAGCAGAGATACTATAACTTGTGTAGGAAATTATCATCATGGAGTTAGGAGGGGAGAAAGGAAAACTTTATTTTTGATAAATTTATGTAAGATTTTTGATAAATAAGAAAAGAGTGGATTAGGAAATATTAATCTTTGTGGAATAAAAACAGGATTTTCAGATTAGGAAAAACTTTAATTTGTAATTTAAAAATAGATTTTATATATAATTAAGCAATTGAAATTGGCATTTATGAAAAATGTATAAAAGTTGGATTATGGTAAACTCGATTAATTATGGATGATATTATTATGTAAATAAGGCTTAAAATTATTAAGCTGTAAGGGTAATATCATTAAAATGGAGTGAAAGAAGGTTATTGGATAGATATAGATGATATAATTATTTAAACTAATTTAGTTTGTATTAAGGATGTTATAGGAATGGAAGGAAAATTGGTAAATGGAAAATTTAATTTAGAATTAAGAATGATCATATCTTTCATAAAAAAATGTAATTTAAATTTAGATATTTAATGGAGGACATAGAGTTGATTGAAAGCTTTTCATAGTAAAAATTTATTACAATTTTGAAGAAACCGCTAAGTATAGTTCTCAGGAGAATACTAAAAAAGGAAAGAAATAAGGAAATGGGACATTCTTTTCAAAAGATTTGATGATGCATAAAAAGAGTAATTAAAACTAATTTAAAATATAAATTGAAATTTAGTAGAGGATGTTGCTATCATAAAAATGGAAGTAAGTAATGTCAGTAGATAGATTTATGATGAATTTTGGATGTAAAAGTACATTATTGAATATAGAGCTAGAAGAATTATATATTATGAAGAATATATAAATAGAATAAGATAAGGATATTTTATTAAAAAAAATAAATAATTTCATTCTAATATCTATCAGTTATTAAATTAATTACAAATTCGATCAAACATTTCATTTTATACAAGAATTTAATTAAAATTTTATCTTTATTTTATATCCTACCCCAGTCTAATATATATGCTGTAGAGGCGAGAATTTCTTATAAAATTCTTTTGTATAAAGTCTTAAAATATATTTTCATTTTATTTTTAAGAATATCTCATTCTAAATACCTAAATTCTTACTTTTTATATCCTCTATTATCTTAAAGTTAACTGTTTAATCATTAATAATATTTTATGTATATACCTATTTTCTCAGCTGTTTCGTTTGGAAATAAAAACGAATCTATAAATTATAATGAACATGATTATATATTTATTTGTTTTATTAAATATATTTTCATCCTCTAAATCTTTTTATCAGTTAATCTTATATATTCACTCTCTTTTTCAAATATTTTGTCTTTTTAATCGAATTTATAATTAGGTTCAACTAAATTTAAGGATTTCTCTTTCAATTTATTTGTTAGGTTACCTTTTTGTATTAAAATTATATTTTAAGGCTTGAGAAAAGAAAATTTTTTGTTTTAAATAACAATTTTTATAATGACTTAATTAAAGTTTGTAACAATTATGCTTATAACTGAGGAAATATTTTAAAGAAACTTTTTTCCATATATTAATTTTTTTTTTTATTAGAACAGTTTTTTATAAATTAGCAACTATTAAAAGAGATCTTAATATATCTATGTAATTGTTAAATATTGATTAATCTATTTTTCTCTAAAATCTATATTTCATTCAAACTCGAATCCTTAAAATAACTTCAGTCTAATTTAAATTTTAATGTTTGCTTGAATCTTTGATTTTTATCAATTCAGACAAAAAATTTTCTAATTTATCTTTGTTTCTTATAAATTAAATTTTTCCTTATTTACATTTTTTTATACTACATTTTAAAAACAGACCTTCAATAATGTATTTTTATAATATTAATATTTATATTATTGATAAATTTCTATTTTCATACAAATCTTATTTAAATTTAATAGGTAATTATTAATAGAATAACAAATTCTTTTCATTATGTTATATTTTTAAATACTAGTCTTTTAAATTTAAAGATATTTTTGAATATATTTTTATAATATTAATATTTATATTATGGATATATTATTATTTTCATGCAAATATTGTTAAAAAATACTATATAATTATTTATGGAATTACAAATCCTTTAATTATGTTATATTTTTAAATTATAGTCTTTTATATTATATGATATTTTTGAATGTATTTTTATAATATTAATATTTATATTATGGATATATTATGATTTTGATACAAATCTTATTTAAAATTAATTGGTATTTATTAATAGAATTACAAACCCTTTAAAAGTGTTATATTTTTAAATTATAGTCATTTATATTAAATGATATTTTTTAATGTATTTTTACAATATTAATATTTATATTTTGGATTTATTATTATTTTCATACAAGTCTTCTCAAAATAAAATAGGTTATTATTCATGGAATTACAAATCCTTCAATTATGTTATATTTTTAAATTCTAGTCATTTATATGAAATGATATTTTTGAATGTATTTTTATATTATTAATATTTATATTATTGATAATTTTATATATTCATACAAATGTTATTAAAAATTAATAGGTAGTCTCTAGTAGATTTTCAAAATGTCATAGATTTTTATATTTTAGAATTCTAGTCATTTATATTAAATGATATTTTTGAATGTATTTTTATAATATTAATATTATGTATAAATTTTTATTTTCATACAAATCTTATTAAAATATAATAGGTATTTATTAATAGAATAACAAATCTTTTCATTATTTTATATTTTTCAAAATTAATCATAAAATGATGAAATTAACAATTTCTACATTTATTTTGATTTTAATTTTCAAGAGTTCAATCAGTATTTATGTTTTGTTAAATGGGATACATATAATATGATTTAGAAAGATTAACTAATAACTTAGATAAAAAATAAAATTTTGACCTATTTTTAAAAGAGAAAAGATAAAGAATTTCATCCTTCTAATTTTGTTTTTTCTTCTTCTTTTTAAGTTTTTGCATTATGGAGTGCTTTCGGTAAGTTTATTTAGGTTTATAATTCTAAAGAACTTGATTAAATAATGGAAATTGACAAAATAAATGATTTCTAAGTTTGAAGAAGCTGTTTTTTTTTGATGAGAAGTTTTTGATAGAATCCACAAAAATGTGATCATTGAATAATACAGTACTGAAAAAAAAAGAAAAAGTTGCTAAATTTTCAATACCTGTAATAGATTACATATTCTTTATTGTTAATATTTATTTATTAGCATTTAATAATAAGTTAGGTATCTAAATTTGTAGATGTAATTTTTTATTCCAGAATTGGTTATTATATTTCAATTTTAGTAAACACTGGTTCTATCCATAAAATTTTACAATATATAAAGTAGCAAATAGCTATTGTTATTTCCATACTGTATAATCTTCCTGCAAAAAATAAATCTATTTAGTTCAGCTCAATTAACTCTAATTTTTAGGGCAATTTTTGGATAACTAAAAATTGCTTCTTCTTACTATTAATCTTTCCATAAAGGAAATTACCTTCTATATTAACTACTCAAAGTTTTATCTCACTTTTCATGAATCAATTCTTATAATGATTATTATAAAAGAGGCACATTTGAGCATGTTAAAAGAATTTTTCCTTTAATAACTTAGAAGGAACAAAAATCTACCATATAAAGAAGATTATTTATTATAAAAATTTTGCATCTTAATTATCAAAGCGTGCGTAGATAGACTTTTTAAGGTTACTAAATTGCAAATAAAATAAAAAGTCTTTATCTTAATCAATAATTCAAATAAATATTACCCAGTAATTATAATAGACTATCATAATCTAATTATTTTTCCTACTTCAAAAATATGATAATATATATCCTATATATCATGCATCTTCCACCTAATTTATTCTCTTGAAATCTATCCTTTTATTTCAAATCTTTTATTAATAACATTTTTTTTTTATAATTTTACAGTTATCGATAGCATGATTAATATTTAATGAACAACTTTTTGATTGTTTTGCTCCTTGAGTATAAGTTCACTAAAGTTAAGACTGTATGAGCTCATAATTGTAGCATCTTTTGCAATTTTTAGGTTTTTTGAATCATATAAATGCCTTTATCATTCTTTTCAAATGAATTTTTGCTTTTTCTTTTTATTATATATATATAGCTCCCAATCCATTTTTATCATCCTTATATTTTATACTATTTATAGACTTGATTGTTACATTTATTAATTATTTTAGTTTAAAACCCATTCTCCTATTCTTTGTCTTTTAGAATAACTACCAACTTCTAAGACTTTGTAATCACTAAGCATATAATTATTTGATTATTATTACTCCCAATAATTCTGGCCTATCTCATCCTCTTTCCTTCCTTTTATCTCGTTATATTATAACTACCCCCTCCAATTTATATTCCCTTCCAAAAATACTTTAAATTTTTAATTGTTAAGCCTTTTGCTCTAATTGTCCTTCAAATTTCAAATATTCCATTTATTCTAGATTATATATTATTTTCTCCTTTTTTGCTCCTAAAATTTTTCTTCCTTAAACTTTTAAATCATTTTACACCTTCTAATATGTACCCATCTTTGTAATAGACTAAAACTTCATTTTTTAATTTTTTTACATCCAATTTCATTTACCTTAATAATTTATAGGCAATCTCTAATCCTTTTAATTAGTTGATAACCTTAATTTTAAAATATCAAGCAATCAATATAAACTATTTAAAATGACCAAATAGAGCTTGATAATCAATTTCTAAGACTTATTATATAATATTTGCACCCATTAGAATGCACTAATTCTGAATTAGATTTCTTTGTAAATTTTCTCGAAGGAAATTTTTTGAAGAGTGTATTCAAAAATAGTATAATCTTAAAAGTAATATAACACTAGCCATCAGATAGAAAAAATTGCAGAAAATTTGTAAGTTCTCATTTTATATCTAACAAAGCGCATCTCTTTAATGAGGAATCCTTAAATGACATCTATTTCTTATAATAAACTTTTTAAAATTTATTTAGATTCACTACTAACTTTCTATTTTTAATTTTTAAGACTTATCAAGTAATTATTAGAGGAAATCTTCTTTATAGAAGACTTATTTAGGAGGTATTTTGATATTTAAAATAAATTCCATACAAATCTTTCTTTATATTTTTCTGTTTTTCTATCCCTTGTACAGCTCTCCTTTTGGAAAATTAGGATGTTGTTAGCAGCAATTATTACTATAATTCATAAATTAATAATATTTATTTAATTAGCTTACAATCTTTTATGAAACATTATTTTAGCAAAAATGTGAAGTATGGAATTAATGTTATATTTTGGCTAAATCTCTTTTGTCTCAGGGTTATTGGAGATTGCTGGATTATTATTGTAATTTTGCTTTATTTTCAATAAAATATTCATGCTTATACTTTGATAGGATCTATAAGTTTATCTTTTGCATCTGCAATAAATGGTACGATTTACAGTACAATTTAGATATCATCACACTTATTTTTGCCAAAATATGTTTCTCTTCTTCATTTAATCAAAATTCATTATAACTAAAATTCTTATCATCTCCCTCCTAATAATGGATATAGGAAAGTTATTTATTTTAGAAGGTACTTCATCATTATCTCTAATTGTGAAAATTTTTAACGTAGCAATAGAAAATTTATATGCTTACTAATGCGGAGGTTTCTTATATTTGAAAGGTCAAAGTTCCTAAATATCAATCAATATTAAAGAAATTAATCTAAGTAATGTTTATGCTAAGAATGGATTTGTTGCAGTCTATTGGATGTAATAAATGGGCTTACAAATAGAAAATTATTGAATCATCTAAATTATAATCATTTACATGATGAAAATTTATTATTTTACTATTATTTAACAAAAAATACTTTCTTATAGACAACACAAGTCAATTATTAAGTATTTTATTTATCCAATATTTTGGCATTTCTAGAGAATTCATATCATTTTTCAGATTGCTAAAAGTATTTTCATTAATAAATAGGAATTAAAACAAATCTTCTGATTGAACTTGAAAAAATTTTAAATTTATAAAATTGAAATAAATAGTAATTTCGAAAACTATCTTTTAATGGCTTTTTATTTTTGACTTCCTCAAGCAGTCTTAACAATTCATTCTGATTGGTTTTACAATTCTTAATTGCTTTCTAATAGGTTTCAATAGCTTCTTTATATTTCTTCATCTATGTTACCTTCAATCAGTTCCGTATTATAATTTATCATAAATCCCCTTTTAATATTATTTAAAATTACCTTTATTCTTATAAGGTTAACTCTATACTAATTCAATCATTATTGAATTGCTGTACTTTTATAAAGCTTTTGATTGAGATTTTCTAACTAAAAAATTAATTGTATACGATATAATGAAACACCTATTAAACTGAAATTTAAGATTAAACTTTATTATTATAAGCTATGGCATAATTAGGATCCAATTGAATAGCCTTATCTAAATAAGTAATTGCTTCAATTTAATTTTTAAGATTATTTAATGAATTACCTATTTAAATGAAATTTAAAATAAAGCTTTATTAATATAGACTATTGCAAAATTAGGATCTAATTCAATAGCCTTATCAAAGCAACTAATTGTTTAACTATATTTACCCTATATATAATGTTCTTATCATCTTTATTTTTAACGAAGACCCTAATAATTATAACATAAAAATTACCTTCTAAAAATGACCAAGACAATAATTTGGATTGTATTAGAGAGCTTTATCTATACATTCTATAGCTAATGTATTTTAGTTCTAAACTTTTAAAGAGAAACATATTTTAATTAAAAATGATTACTTTTTCTATACAATGCATGAAGATGTTTTGGTTCCTCATTTAATACTTTTTCACATTATTCTATGGCTTGCTAGTATTTCTTTTCATTATTTAAATGCATAACCTTAAGGATGTATTTAATATCAAAAACTTTTTGCAATTCTCATAAAATTATTTCTTGGATTCTTAATCAAATAAATCTGTATATAGGTTACTATTAATCTTTTTAGCTTATTCTCTCAAAATGAATCCTTAGCCTGGTTGATTCATTTCAAATAGAGAAATACCTAAAAATATTATTATAAAATATATTAACTTACATTAAATGAATGTATCAAAAGATGATTTTTTTATGATTATTTTAACATTTCTCAGAATAATTCATAGGTCTATTTCCATTACTACAGATTTAGAATACAATTCTATTTTTTTTTAAATATTCTAATTGGATTCCTAATTGATTATTATTAAATAGAGTACCTTCCTAAAGTTTATTTTCTTGGCCTTATTGTAAAATTTTTGATTATGAACATTGTTACTATTCTTCTAAATTCAAAGCTTTTATCATTCTTTTTACATTAAATAAATAAGTTCCTATAAATTTTATATCAAAGAAAGATACCAATTTAATTCTACTTAATGATCTCCTCTTAATTATTGAAGTATTGATACCATTCCTTAACCATTTATAAGTTTTATTTTATGTATTATTAATCTTATTTACTTAAACATTCAGATAGCTTAACTAATTATATATTCATTTTTTCCATTTATATTGAATACTCTCCATATTAGTTTTAGCTTACACAAATGTCTAATTCTAGTGAAAAATATCTTAACACGTAAACAATTTCTATTAATTCATTTAATAAATATTTATTCAAAAATAAAATTAATATATAACTATATAAAATAATGGATATAGAATATTTAATAGAATGGCAGAGAACTTTTTGAGGTAAGCATATATATTTAGCACAAAAGCTTATAATAAACTTCTCTATTTTTCTTTTATTTCTGTAATTTAAATTAAATCTATATTTTATGATTGTGCATTTGATAGAATAGGTCTAGATTACAATAATATATAAGAGACAATTTTTACCTTAAATGAATCAAAAAGATGATTTCAATTTTTTGAACCAAATTAATATTGATGTGATACGATATGCTATATTTGTTTGTTTGTTGATCTGTTGTGCTGATAGTAAAGCTAAAAAGAAATTCCAAATTACTAGAATCATGTTTTTGTTTTAATACTGCAAAAGCAACAAAAGAATTATAATTCCTTTTGAGACATATTATATGTAAAATACTAAATTAATGACCATCTGTTGTTCATCTCTTTAATCCAAAAATGAAAAGAAATAAAAAGTACTTTAAAAATTTTTAGTTATTATAATTTAGCAAAAATAAAAAGTATTCATTTCAAAGCTAGATTTTTTATCATAAATTCATTATTTAGTCTTTCTCCAAAGCCATCTTTAATAGCTGATTTGGTAAAGTCAATGATTGTACACCTCTAAAAACTAGTTTTAAATCAATAATATATAATATGCATCAAATTGCATACAAAAAGCCAAGACAATAATAAATATGCAATAAATGATATTAAACAATTTTTGGATCATAATAAAGTATCATTGCCCTATTATTTGTATTTGAATAATTGTAAAATATAAAATTATCTTAAAAATGCATTTATTTTGCAAATGAAAATTATTATAAGGAGAATCATATTGGTATATGACTTAAATCATCAGTTAGAAATTATCGAAAATGGTAGAAAAATTATGATTTTTGCTGCCAGAGAAATTAATGGTAAAATTTTTTGGGGTAAATTAGAGGACATAACTTATAAATATTAGTAAAAAAGTGAAATTTTAAGAAGAAGCAAAATTTAAGCTTTGTTTAATAGGATTGCTTTATTAGTGAATTTGTATATTTGGTAGTTGTGCTAGCAATCTAAGGGTTGAGTAAATGGCTCCTTAACCTATCAGCTTTACATATAATAAAATTAAAAATTATTGAAATCAATTGTTAAGTAAAGAAGGCCTTTTTGTAAGTTAGATGTAAACACTCCAAAAAGAAATTCGCTAAAAGATCCGGATTCTTTATAAAACCTTACAACAACCATTTAATCATTTATTATTATTTATAGACTCGCTTTGTTGAAGAGGATACACACCAGCAATATTGTTATTTATCATGTTAATTTTGTATTAATATTTTAATTATTTTGAGGGTTATTTGATATATTTGTGTTAATCTTTAGTTTTTGTTAATATTTATCACCTAAGCATGCTAATTTATTCTTATCAGATAACATTTGATATTAATTAAATTAGGTAAACAAATGATGCTTAATTTATATTTTCCCTCTATGTCTAATAATTTTCTTAATATCAAAATAGAAAACATACCAGAATATTTTGAATTTTTTTGAACCTTCACAACATTAATTCACACTTAAGGTTCTTTTATTGGATTTATGTAAATTATATAAGAATGTAACTAATTGAAACAAAAATTTCATGCAGTTAAAAGGATTAGATGATAAAAAGTTTTGACACTTTGAATTTTAGCGAAAACACTTAACTTTATCATTTTAAAAATTTTACCTGAATTTTTTGGTAATCTTATAAAAAAAATTAGATGATTAATTCTCTACTTTTTATTATAAATTGTTTTTATTTTATTGGCCACTGTTTGTAATTGTTTTTTAATAATAAACTAATTACCGAATGTACTAATAAAATTGTTTAAGTAATTAAATAATTGATTATTTTGGAATGTTATTTTTTATGTGGGATATAAGAAAATATTAGGTCTTATTGCTTAAGTTGCTTACTAGTTTATGAAAGAATATTAATCAGTAATAAATGCATACCCAAACGGTAATTATGAAACCGAAAAATTTAATTTAGAAATGTTAATTTTTGCCTCAATTAGCTTATCTTGTGTTGAAATTGAATAATAAAGAATAAAAACTGGAAAATGGTGGGTGTCAGTTAATCATATTTATAATTTTCAAATGAATGTTTAACTTGTATTTCATCAGATGATTATTAGATTATTATTGTTTCTACAATATTTATATTTATTCAAACGAGTTGATTAAAAATTCATAAATTTCCTTGCATTATTAAATTTTTAAGAGTGATTTAAACATAAGTGTTATTAGAATGTCACATTAAATAATAAACTTATATAAGTTGATTCGAAGTGTGTTTAAGTTGTAAATTTGAATTAAATTCATATCCTATGTCTATTTTTGGGATAATTTAATTTGCAAAGAACAATATTATGTAGATGAAACCTAACTATAATCTTAAAAATGTAATTTGTTAAGAATTTTCAAATTATAAATGAATTAATCCACTAATATGTAATTGCATTGGAATAAGATGTAAATATGTTGAGGGAATACTATGAAAGTAACTAGGTTAAAATTTTGTGAATGTATATACAAATTAAATCATTCGAATTTGAATTCTGTGCAGGTTGCATATTAGATTCTTTAAATTGTGAAACTTGTATAGACATATTTATTATTATAGCAAATAGGTTATAGAATTTTAATTCCTTAATGAATTTGTCAATCAGGATATTTTGATGATTTAAAAAATGAAGATGGTTAATAGTGTGATTGTAATTATTTAGAATATAATATTTATGGATGTTTACGTTGTTGAATATTAAATGAGAAAATGAATAATCCTCCACCAACTGGCAATTTCCACAAGATTACCATCAATTATAATCATAAGAATTTTTTTTTTACATGTTTTTGTGCATTGAATAAACGCAAGGATATAGATTACTATGATTTAAATGGTACAATTCAGCCTAAAGAGCTGATTGCACAAGCTTAAATTAATAGAAAATGTGCTATGGATTAAAATAGTGAATAAACAAGAATTAAAAATGCTTCTATTCAAGAAATAAATAAATATTGTGATAGATCTTAAAGAGCTTACATTAATTGTATATCATTTAAGTGTGTTAATTGGAATTCAAATTCTCTATGTAAATTGATTATTCAATATAACATGAAAAATGCATATCTATAGAATAAAGTTTTAACACCAAATGCTAATCATGTTAAGGCTTATACAGGAAAAGGTGTTAAATTTATAATTAATTTAAACTCATCATAATCTCTTAAATAAACTTGCTTAAGATTCTATGGAAAACGTTAAATAGGAGTTCCAATTCTTAGGATTGTACTTATGAGTTTCTTGCAATTCTATTTATGATATGTGTGATTAATGATCATTTGGAAGCAATATAATATTTAGACCAAGCTTTAAAAATCAATCCATAACATTACTTATCATTATGGGTAAAAGGTAAATTTAATTATATATCAAGGAGATTGCCTCATGATGTGAATATTTGAAAATTATGTTATAAAATGGATGAAACAATATAAGTAGGCAATTTTTTGTATAACAAAGTATTATTTGTTAATCCTGAACAGAGGTGATTTTAATTTGTAAATGTACAATTGATAATATTAATCTAAGGGGAATGTTAGATAAATAGAATTAATAATAGCACAAAATATTTAAATTTGCGATTTTTAATTTGATTGTTTAATATCTTACTTATTAGTCTTAATAGAACAGATGGTGAAATATCTTTATTTTGTGGATATAATGGAACATCTTGTATTAATAAATCAATGTGGTTTGATTATTGGAACTAAACTTACTCATTCTAATTTTCATGCTCGTTTTAGTATTTTATAATAAAAAATTTATGAAATAGTTATTATCATTTTTATTATGTAATAATGAATTATACAACTTAAATTGATTTTCCTTAACTAAAAATAGAGATGATACCTCCTTCCCTATATTAATTTAGTATAATACATTAAAATCAATGTTAAATGTATTAAAATGGATATAAACCTGCTCACACAATCGAATGTAGACTTCAACATGTAAAGATGTAAAATTTATAATATAGAATAATAAAATTTAGAAATTAATTATGCACAAGTCTCATGAGTTAATTACACATATTAATATCACTAAAGTGATATTAAATTGACTTTAAGTGAATAACTAAGAGATAACTAAATGGATTTCATATAATTATAAATTATATCTCATGAAAATGATCCATGTAAATCACTTCCATGAGATAATTATATAAATTTTGAATCACCTGAATTGATATTTTAATCAACTCTAAATGATAAATCATAATAACCTAAGATGATTATTAATTTTTCTCTAATGATCAGAATTATATTAATTTATTAGAACTTACTGGATAAATCAATTTAAAATTTCAATCATTAAGAATAAATTAAATATATTCACATCAATAATTTAAATTGCGTAAATTAGAAAAAATGCTCATTCAAAATTTCATTTATGTTAAAGCATTTATTAAGAAAAGCTCTCTTATTATTGTAATTTTGCAGAAATTAAAAACTGCAAATTTATAATTGAATATGTGCATAATTTAAATAATTACACATTCATAATTAAAATTGTGCATAAATTAAAAATACACATTCTCAATTGTAATTGTGCATCAATTTCAAATTAAAAGTGCTAAAAATTAAATAATTATACATTTATAATTTTAATTGAGCAGAGTATAAATAATTGTATCATAAGCTGTTTAAGCATCTTGTGGGTAAAGTAACATATAGATGGAAAAATTATTAATAAGCAGCATTAGCTTTTATTTGTCAGCATCTCATCAGAATATTTAATATATTCAACTAACAATCATATATAAAAATTTTCAATTCAGAAGTTGAACATATTTGTATTGTGCATGTTAAAGATGGTGGATGATGAGTAAGTATAAAATTTTAATTACCTGGAAGGGATAAACTTCTTAATATGAATGGAGGAGAAATAAACTTCCGATCCATTTCAAATTTGAAGGGTGCCTGTTTTATATTAGTAGGTTAATTACTTCAAACTGTATCAATTAATATATAAAATAGATAAAGGATTAAAACATTTTAGATGGCAAATTAACAGCCTTCTTTACCATAATTCCTGTATCCATATCAAACCAAGAGAAAATATTAACTCTTAACATTTCACTTACCTTGATACATACAGATAAATATTACTAAATGAATAAAGATGGATTCAACAAGATCATCAATTTATAGATTAAATAGAACTCTATTAGCAAAGTATTCCAATAACAAATGCTTGCAAAGCATAAACATTATCACAAATTCTAGTTATTATAGATATATTATATATCCAAGTAATGGCAATTCAACCAACTAGATCGACATAATAATTTATGCTTAAGGAAAATCTGCTTCCTTTAAAAATATTCATTAAATAGAATATAAAATATACAGTTAAGGTAGAATAAAAACATTTGCACCATTAGCAATGCTATGAAACGATTCACCATCAAAGAAACACTAACATATTCATAATGATAAATATGAAATATAGGTTAAATAGTTCTGCATATTTTAGAATAAATCTTGAACTTCTAGGTTTTAACATCATAGTTGTCAGCAGAAGCATAAATAGTATCACTACTAGCATAATCATGATATACTAATTCCATAAATCATTTATATTCAAATGAGCAAAAATGGACTGCAAGAGTTGAGAAATACTACAGATAATATAAAAATTTCAATGTATGTCAAATCATCAGCAGACTATACTATGCATAAAGCTGTAGATGCTACTGCTATTAGAATATTTCATATCAAACCCGATATATACAGTTAATCTAACAAAATCTATTGAATCACTTTCAAATGATATTCCAAAATCTACATGCCCCAAATTACTGTACTATTGTAATACATATGTTCATCAATATTTTTATCATTATTTGTTCCATATACATAGAACTAAGACATTCCTTCCAAAACTGTAAATTCAACTTCTATCAATAACACTAATGCTGGGCATATACATAGATATACCTATTGTGATCATTAAGGTATCTTACTAGATTGAAAGATTCCTTTAATTGTTCTATAAATTCTATTGCTTATCATACCTCTTTCATTCCTGTATTATATTTAGACAAAATTATTCGAATATGATTTTATTTCTTTTCCAATATGTTTTGTATCAATTTCTTTTCAATTCTCTATCTTATAATTATAAAACTATTGGATCTGGTACATTATATGCAAATGAATTTTATATTAAACTACTTTAAATTCCTTTGTAAAAGTCATTTTCAATTGTCTATCACAGCATCCACTACTTTAACTACTATTTTATTTTACGAAGTAATAAAAATAACTTGGATAAGGGATCTTAGATAAAGCCAATTAAAAATCTTTGAACTTCCTGATGCAAAAAGGACGCCCTTCATGTATACATAAATTATAATTATCTCTTTGAAGCTGATTCCACTATTAACTTTGTAATTCTTCTATTATTTAATTTTTGGAGTATGATATGAACTCTACCCATCTTCGAAACCTCATCTCATGCTTTGTATTGCATTAGTAACTTAAAAGATTAACTTACTGGTAAAATTTATATTAAATTTAATTTCTCAACTACTTTCAAATCTTAAATTTTATATTCTTACTCATAAATTGTTTTTTTTCTAAGGTATTTCCCCTGAAGGTAAAAACCAACTAAATTTTAAAGTACTCTTAATTATCCATGACCAATCTCAGTATTTTCATCTTACTGAATCTATATAGAAATTAACTCCAACCAAATATACAATTCTGGAAAATGGGTATTAGAATACAAACATAATGTTAATAATTTTTGTTAATGCTCAGTTGTTTCAATAAGAAAACCAATTCGAAAAAAAAATAAAAGAATGTGAATCTAATTGTTTTAAGATATAAGGCTAATTTTTAATAGCGATTAAATAAATAAATATTTTTAATAATATTATTATTATGCTCTTTTTATAATATTCATTTTATAGCTCCTCTCTAAAGAAACAGTTATTCCAATGATTATCCTTTGGTACCAATAAAACTGGAACGATGAATTAAAGATTATTGAGCTTATAAATTTTGCTGTTAAGCTATTGTTTTATAACATCAAATTCCATTCTTGATAACTATTGGATGGTTATAAAGATTGGCTAATAACATTTCTTTTTTTGTTAGTCTAATCTCTTTTATTTCTTCATATGTACTAAGAATAATCTCTCTGGGCTAATCTTCAAAATTATTCACTATTATGCTATCCATATTATTTTCTTTGAAGAATGCCAATTTGACATTTATCAACGATGTCAATATTAATTACTTTAACTCGCCAGTTTAAATAGACCAAATTCTCAAAGAGTTATCTTTACTATTGGGCAATAATTGTTTATTGTCATAAGAAAATGAAAGAGAAACAACATAATCTGTATGGCCTTAAAATCTTCTAATTTCACTCAAATTTGAGCTATTAAATAGTATTATTAATGAATGACTACCAGCTGCCAATATCAATCCATCTGATGAATATGCCAATGAAGAGACATCTAACATATTATCTACTATATCAGTATATGTTTTATCTTTTGTATTCCAGATTCGTATGCATTTGTCTCTTAATCCAGCTGCTAATTGAATTCCATCTGGGGAAATACAGAGAGAAAGAGCTTCCGCATCTTATAAAAATATTTTATAAATTTCTCTGCCTTCTGATGTGTTAAATATTCTTACAGATCCATCAATATACTATATTGCCAAACTTTGTTCATCTCCTGATAATGAAACTAGAGCTCTTTGACTTTAACTGCAAAAAAATGTATGATATTCTGAATGGCGATTAGTGTTCCATAATTTTACATTACATTCTTCACCACCAGATGCGAGAATCTTGCCATCAGGTGATAGTGCAATACTATAAACTTCGCCATCCTATTCCAAATTTATTAATTCCTCATTTTCTTTACTATATAAATTCCAAAATCTAATTGTTTTCTCTGCACTACAAATTGCTATAATATTTTGATTTGGTTAAAATTAAACAGACCATACTAAATCTGAATGACCATTCAGTGATTGGATGATTTATTCATTTAGTATGTCCCATAAAATTATTCCAGAAGCACCTGCAGAAGCTAACATTAAATCATTTAGACAAAACGCCAAAGCTAATATTTCACCTATTTACCCTTATAATATTTTGTTTTCTTATTTAGTAATTGAATCAAAGATTATTATAACTTTATTTACCATACCTACTGCTAGTTATTGTCCTTAGTTTGCATATAAAACAACTCCAACTTTGCTTTCCAATTGTTTTTAATGCTTATCTTCATTATCTACATTCCAAAATATTATTGATTAATCAAGAATGCCAGATAAAATTGTTTATCCATTGTGATTGATTTAATTCTATCAGTATGCCCTATAAATATTTTTATTTATTTTTTTGAATCCAAATCAAACAATCGAACTATATTATCATACCCTCCAGATACAATCTATTTTCCATTAGGCATAAACTAAAATCTGTAAACTTAATCTGCATCAAGAGAGGATATTTTTTTCAGTGTTTTTACTTTCCAAATTACAATCATTTTCTCAAAGCCGATAGCTGATGCCAATCTCATCCCATCTGGTGAAAATGCTACTGATGTAACACTATTCTTATGCTCTTTTAATACCCCCTTTTCATAACAAAATGATTCAGCAATAACAATTGATTAATCATTGGTAGAATATGCAATATATTTTTTTTATTGACTATAAGCTAGACAAATGGATTACTAATCTAAATCTTACTTGAATACCTCTTAAGCTAATTCTATATTCCATCATCTTATTGATCTATCTTTGCTTCCTGAGATTAAACCAAATTTTGAAAATGCCAATGAGAATACTACATCTTAATGTCCCTTAAGAGTAATTATTTGACCATCCATTTCTGTATTCCAAATCCTAATAAATGCATCTTTACAGATAAATATTATATATTATCCATTAGGAGAGAATATGATCTTTTAAATGATTTCCTAATTACTATTCATTTTTTTCACTTATAATCCAGTATGATAATTCCATATAATTATCTATTAATCATAGCTTCCAGACACTAAGATGTCTTCCTTAGGAGAAAATACAATGGATGCAATAATTTTTGTATGTCCAGCCATTTTTAATTTTTTATTTATGTTTGAAATATCTGAAATATCCCAAATCTCAATTGAACCATCATAGCATCCACAAGCCAAGTAAGATTAATTAAATGAGATGTCAATAGAACGAGCAAAACTATTTAAGCATATGTTATTTATTTCATGACCTCTAATTATATCCCATAACTTAATTGATTTATCCTGACTACATGATATCAATTGATTGGATGTAAATATAATTTAGAATACTTGATCTTTATGTCCTTCTAATTTTAGAATTTACTTTTTTTCTTTAACATGATATACTCTTATATTTTTATCTTTGCTACATAAAGTAAGTTTTTAACCATCTTGTGAAAACATTATGCATGTAATTTCATTTGTATGACCAATATCTGATTAATATCCTTTATGTCCATCTATATCCCATAATTTAATACTTTTATCATTGCTACAAGAGATTAATTATTTTTAATTAGGACTGATAGATGCTCTAACGATAATATCAGAATGAGTTAATTCTTAATATTTCCAGTTTATTAATTAAACTCCAAAATCTAATTGTCATATCTGCACTGCAAGATACCAATTATTATTCATTCATTGTAAATTCA